TGTATCTTATCACCAGATATTATATGTTTACATCGATTTAATAAATAAATTTCGCTTTGAAAGGTTTACCCCTCGGAGCGAGAATAGCGAATCGAGTTTACCAAAAATCGATATGGCCTGGCGAGAATCAATCATTTGCTGAAACCGCTAAGCGCCTTTATCTATCTAGGGTGGGCTTACCAGCTGCTCGAAATTTCAAGTTGGTAGCCATGGTACATCTTGAGTACATCCATAAGCGTCACATATCGTACGTTTATAATACAATTGAGTTTCACAACTACCAACTGTGTCACCAAAAGATGGTTGGTGTGGAAGCTGAGTTCTTGTTGGCACATTGAACCATCAAAGAACGTGCCGTATCATTTGACCCTTCCATTCCTCTTGATTTACATCCTTTCCATCTATCCAGGGAAAGTGAGGGTCTGTCAGTTTATTCGAGAAAAAAATCTTGTTTTTTCCACGTTCATCATGCCTATTTCCGTCGGACTTGAGAGGAAACTTTTGATCCCATACTTATGGGTATGCAAAGCAAGCCATTTCTAGCCTGCTTTGCTGTATATACCCGCCCAACCACACTCAAATACTCTACTTGCATATACATACTAACCTTAGCTAAACTCCCCTGATTGAATGCCAGAATTTGAAACCATCTTGTTTATCACCTCATGCCAAGTTGGACTTCTACTTCTATTGCTTTAATCACGTCAGACCACTTCATCTCTCAATAAGACAGATACCTGTTTAGCGAAGATTTGAAAGTCGAGATCTTCAAAACGCAATACTGAGAATCGTCATCCGAACCGAATAACATATCATATCAATCTCGGCTACAGTATTTCGGGAAATTTCGAAGCAGCCACCCGTTGGTTTTCGGGCTCGGTGCGTGTGGTCAGGAACCACACGGGTAGTCGCTGCTGATACTATGGGCACAACGTGATTGTCACTGACACTTTAGCTGGTGCACGAGTGACCAGATAAATGAAAGGCAATTTTTAGTATTTTTTTTGCCTCTTTCATCATCTAGGAATGGCTAAAACGAGGGTGATCGCGATTCTTATCGAGAAGTGGTTACAGGAAGAGATACTACAGACATTCCATTATCTTACTATTTTAGTTCAACTCGGGTATTGACGCCGAACCATTGCTTGTGTATAGTGTGCGAGGAGGATTATATCCGAATATTCACACTGCAATCGTTTAGTCTTGATTATAAAAAACCCTGGGACTTATAACTTCAATGACATCGGTAAGATTCCCATTTCTATACTGCAAGAAGGTCCATAATAGATTGATATTGACATTTCCTAACGATATTCTCAAGTCTGGATAAAAAGTCATAAGAGCAATTAAGTCGAGATGGTTCACAAGTTCATACTTCAAATGATTCATTGATGGAGTCTCCTATAAGTCAAAAGATTGGTATTATATTTATACCGCCATGGATTTCCCGCCATTAACCGTAAAATTCCTTTGCCTTCACTATCAGATACGATCATTTCTCATTCCTTGCCTCAAGCAAGTTACTGCAGAAATGTTCCCACTCAACTTTCACCACCACTCATTTCTCTCTTCATTGCCTGCCTGACCATATCTCCACAAAGTTTTGCCGTCGGATTCGCACTCACTGCTAGTGCCTTTGCAATCTCATTCCCATACCTTCCACCCGTCATGAAATCTCTTGATGCTGCCTCTTCAAAGTCTATCGTCTTCCAGTTCGCCTCCCTTCTCCTTTCATCAATTCTCACACTCGAGTCAGCGTCAGAGGAAAGCTGTTTAGCTGATAGATGATATAAAGCACCTCGTTGTGTTAAGGCTTGGGAGAGTGTCTTTGCTGCTTGAGGGGATATGGATGCCCAAGGCGTCTTTGGAGCCAACAGGGAAATTGCTTTATCAAGATCTGATAATGCGTTGAATGACGCAAGTTTTATGGTATGTTCAGATGCTTCTGTATCCAAAGGTTCGTTTACATCAGTTCCAGATCCTTTGCTAGAGGATGTTTTCACCAACATTAAATCGCCATAAATTCGTCGTAGTGCTTGTGCTCTATTATTCCTCGCACTGGCATAATTAGGATTTTCTTCAATCAAATCATTCAAGCTCTGGAGGCAATCGTGATATTGAGATAGAGGCGAATTTTCAGTTAAAGGTTTCAACCCGGCCATCTGAAGTTCTACATCTTGCATCAAGAGAATAATATCTCGTTCTCGTTGCGCAATTTCTTGATATGTAAAAACGTCAATGATATGCGGGTCTTTGGGAAGCGAATCATCGATAAGGAGGGGATGCGAAGGACCTGATTCTGGATCCTTTATTTTCTCGAGAACTTCGAGGTCGTGTCTGGTAAGTGTTGTCATTTTTGGAAGGAATCTGTATCTATCTAGGTTGTGATTTGGTAAGATTTTTCAGACATTCAAAGAATTATTAATGATGAACGCAACCCCAAACTTGAAGATTTCAATTAATTAAGATCATGAAACGCAGAGGTATTCGGCACAACCAAAACGTGACTACGGTAGTGTGGTACAGTGAAACCATCGCAATTCCGCGCAATGACTAAGCGAATAAGCGACATTTAAGCCGAACACAGCCGTTTGTAAACCGCGCGGAATGAAGGAGTATCAACCGCACTTGAAACCCTAACGACTTCCCAAAAGCAATCCTAGGTCAAAGGATGGCGATCGGTTTAATTGCTGGACGCTCATTAGTCGATGATTGTGAAGCTTAGCTGATTGATGGATTATGCGGTCACAGGATATTTTGGCATGGCTTAGTCCGCCGTATACCGAGATGTATCGTCTTCATAAGAAGAGGAGCGGTTGGCAGTCCCAAGTTCCTCTTCTTCACAAACATCTCTCTTTCTTCCTTTGTGAACGAATCTTGACTCTTTTGACAAACTTCTCTGCAAGCAAAGTTTGCTTTCGACAAACCATTCTGAGAATCTCCCTCTTACTTAAAGTATTGATTGCTGGTCTACTCTAAGACCTTTCTGGTTATCAATCTCACCTGCCTACGTATAGAGGAATCCAGCCTCTATCTCTCTACTGTCTACTGTCTACAAGACTTTCATATCACATCACACCATGGCACCGTCCGCCGTCACCCCTCCAATCCTCACTCCCACCTCCCTCACCTTCCCCACATCAACCAACACAAACTCCTCCCTCAGCACCAACACTCCCAATTTCCACGGCTACGACCACATCACCTGGTACGTAGGAAATGCCAAACAAGCCGCCTCATACTACTGCACCCGTCTGGGCTTCCAAACCATCGCCTACAAGGGTCTCGAAACGGGTTCGCGCTATATCGCTTCGCATGTCGTTGCAAATGGCAAGATTCGTTTCGTCTTGACGTCGCCTGTAAAGGCATTCTCGGGACTTAAAGATGATGAACCGATTACGGAAAAGGAGAGAGAGTTGTTGAGAGAAATCTATGAACATCTCGAGAAGCATGGGGATGCGGTCAAGGATGTCGCGTTTGAAGTGGATGATGTGGCGAGTGTTTATTATAATGCGGTAAAGCAGGGTGCAGTGGGTGTGCAGAAACCTATCAAGGGAAAAGATGAAGATGGGGATGTTGTGAGTATTTTCTTTTTTATATCATTTTTGAGTCTTAATGATATATACTAATCCATACCCGTTCAGACAACCGCCATCATCCGCACCTACGGCGACACAACCCACACCCTCATTTCCCGCAACAACTACCGCGGTGTCTTCCTTACCGGCTACCGAGCCACCCCGGCCTCCAAACGCGATCCCCTGCACGCGCTCCTCCCCAGCATCCCCCTCGAAGCCATCGACCACTGCGTCGGCAACCAAGACTGGGGCGCCATGCAATCCGCCTGCGAATACTACGAAAAATGTCTCTCCTTCCACCGCTTCTGGTCCGTCGACGACTCGCAAATCAGCACCGCCCACTCCGCCCTCAACAGCATCGTCATGGCCTCCCCCAACAACGTTGTCAAGATGCCCATCAACGAGCCCGCCCCCGGTCTGCGCAAGAGCCAAATCGAGGAATACGTTGATTTTTACTCGGGTGCGGGGGTTCAACATATCGCGCTCCGTACCCCCGATATCATTACCGCGGTTTCGAATCTGCGTGCCCGTGGCGTGGAATTTATCTCAGTACCCGAAACGTACTATGAGACGATGAGAGAACGACTTGCGGATAAAAATGCGGGGATTAAATGGGAACTAAAGGAAGATTTCGAGGAGATTAGAAAATTGAATATCTTGATTGATTTTGACGAGGGAGGATATTTACTCCAACTCTTCACAAAACCATTGATGGATCGTCCGACGGTGTTTTTGGAAATCATTCAGAGAGAGGGATTTGATGGTTTTGGAGCGGGTAATTTCAAGAGTCTCTTTGAGGCCATTGAGAGGGAGCAGGAGGAGAGAGGAAATTTGTAGAGTGTGAGTGTTGGGTCATGCGGAATGATGAAGAGGTTGTTTGTAGATGGGTTGGGACAAGGATGCGTTGGTACACCTGCTTTCTTTAGGGGTCCGGAGTCTGGGATTTTGAGGGCATAATATTGCACCTTATGATTGATGATCACTACATACCAAGCATAGCGGGAGCGGAGTGACTGAACGGATGTCGGTGTGCATTTTCGGTTGGGCCCCTCTGAGTAGATAGTTATAGCGAATCCTATAATTTATCTTACATGCATACATACATTTATTCATTGATGGAGAGCCGAGTATAGTGATCTAGTATGTATATATGCGTTATAGCTATAGTCAGAATCTATCTTATGTACTAATACTACTGCATCAAGATCTGCCTATATGCAAATTGCATTGCAAAACATCGCAGCACTCTTCCCTGTAATCTTCAAATCTCGAAATAATACTCCCTATATCTTTTCCCTCTCATCCTCATCCCATATTCTACCGAAAAACTAACCTCAAAAATTCACATCGCGCGGCTCCTACACCCCTCGGCCCCCACAATAGCCGCCATCATCACCGTCACCCCATTCACCCGACTCCAACCTAAACCTCAGAATCCCTCTCTCTTCCCATCCCACTAGCAACATGCACCTCCTCATCCGGAAACCTAATAGTTCTCCCCTCCACCACCCCATCCAACATCCCAATCGGACTCACCTCCTCCCCATCCATCCCGATTCCACTCCCCGACACGCCCCTTGCAATTTCCGAACGAATCACGCTCCCCCCGATCCTATAAATCGGTTTCGAACTCGTTCCCGAACTCAAAGCTGGAGTCGAAATCGCACTTCCATGTGTCGTTCCACTTCCACTTGCATCTGTGCTAGCATTTCCTCTTCTCCTCTCTCTTAACACACCTGAGTTTGAGCTGTAAACTCTTGCTCCAATGGCCAGATTTGTTTGACTATTGCTTTGACTTGTGAATGCTCTGCTGAGTGTTCTAGGTAAGAAGAAGCCTAATTTGCCTAATGGTATCGAAAGTCCATGCACTACAATGCTACAAATTGTCAAGAACCAAACAACAACTGAGATAACCTCGGCTAGGTGTTCTGCATCTTCGCGCTGAACACCATCTACCGTGATGGTTTCGAGGAATTCGAGTGAGATATAAAGATAGAAGATAGCGCTAACTCCAATTGGTCCGAAGAACCCAACGAAAATAGCTTGACGTTTCTCCTCAATCTGAGGTATGAATTTATGCATTGCGAAGACAATTGGTAAACGTCTATTGAGTTGAGGTCAGTCTAGATTCCAACAAGTAGTTTCTGATCTTGAAATGCAGAAAGCTGCAAAGGGGAGAGATCGCTTACCTGAAAAGTAGTATCAAGACACCCAAGAATATCAACCGATAAATTGGAATAACGCTATTGGTAGCAAATGAAGCCCAAGGACAGATAGCTCCGAACCATATAAACACACTCAGATTCAGTAACATATCGATAGTAGGTTGAAGCGAATCATCTAGCGTTTCTAGACGAAACCAGTCATCCCAAGTAAAGACATTTCCAGCAATAAAACATGCCAAAACATCATCGCTACCAATCATACCACAAGTGCCCACAATGAATAGAGCTAAGGTGATAGCGAATACAAGGAAACTTTCCCGATCCACAAATTTCTTCTCTTCAGCCCAGTGAAGAAGTTCTTTGGCTATCCAGCCTACAGTAGCGCCGTAGACAATACTGAGGATAATAGTATAAACCCATGTTTCTCCAAACCAGAGACCCATAGCTTTAGAAGCACCTCCAGTTTGACCAGCGCCTACGACAAGATATCAGCATAAACACAGAATAAATAACGTAAAACAGAAAGTAATTGAAAACAAACTCACCACCTTCCCCTGTGTATTTGATCAAATACAACGCCAAAAACAAATACGGATATCCCAATCCATCATTCGCCCCACTCTCCGCCACAATAATCTTTTGTAACTCCTTTGGAATATTCTTATCCGCAAATTTTCCCTTGACAATACTGTTACTCAATACCGGATCGGTAGGCGTAATACATGCTCCAACAGCTAAGGCATGCAGAAACGACAAATTTGGAACCATTCCCCAGATTAATAGTGAACTCGAAAGCCACATTACAGTCATAATAGGACCAAGTAGGAGCGCGAGGGATCTCCATTCCAGCTTTAAATACCGGGAGGGTAATTGGACACCAGCAAGGACAAGTTGAACGCCTAGGACTAGACGAGAAAAGTCGAGGGTCGTTGCATTGAGATTTGCAAGAGAGCCCGTATAATCGAGGGGGCGAACAAAGTCTGCTGCATGTGGAGACATGGCAACACCAAAGAGAAGGGATATCACTGTTTAAATCCATATTAGCCATTGTCTTTCAATGAGAAGTGCAATGAGGGGGAAAGGGAGTAAACATACATGCTTCAGAAAGATAAAATTTCTCCTTGAACAAATAAGATACCAATCCAAACAAAGTAATGAATCCGCCAAGGATGGCACATACAATGTTGAAGTTGGAAGTCGAAAGAGTAGGCATCTTGGGCTATTCAATTCTGTCCTTTTCCTATCTTTTGAAGGCTCGTCTTCTCGATATATATCTTCGAATCGAACTGCAATTCGGCTTCTTTTCCTGCCAAGCCAAGCTAAGCTTGTGGGTTTACAACTCCGTATGTTGTGCCTGTGGTCTGCGAGCCCAATTGCAAGCCTTTGGATCTGCGAGACTTCCAATTCTCACTCAGTCTCCAATCCTCACTCAAACTCTCCTCTTCTGCACACAAAATATTCCTTTTCTTCCTCAACAGTGAGTCCGCAGAAACATCCGTCGTATTATCCCACGCCCGAATCGTCACTCTCACAATCCCTAAGAATGAATCTTCTCTTCAATCTCGAAGCCTCCTTAAGATCCCAAGCCTGTGTTATTGAATCATTGAAAACTTTCCCGTTTCTCGAAATATCGAATCTGGAAATGCCCGCCACCTTGTTCCGCGGAGCTTGTCCTGTAGATGTTTTCTTTCGATTTACTTTGTTGGCAATGGTAGGTAGATAGATTATATGAAGAATACAATCCTTATGTGGGCAAACAAATAGAGAATGTTCTCGGAATCACTTGTCGTGTGATTGATTGATGAATACGACCGTTTCATACAAACATGCAGAAGAGTGTGGTTGATCAAGAAATATGCAGATGAATTTATTTAGATATCGGTGAGATGGATGATTTTCTTTTATCCTTATCAAGAAACTGAACCCCTGCATTCAGCCATAGCCATGTGTGCTCACTCACCCCTCCACAGACCCTAGGCTATCAATGAGTATGAGGTGGGGGGCTCTATGAAACGAAACATATTATGAAGGTTGAAAACAACATGATGATAATGAATAACTACGTACTTCCTATATGATATTGTCCAAGTAATTTCATATATGATTCCATTTAGATTTGAAGATCATATATTGCAAAAAGAAGTACTAGGCGGTTAAAGATTTGAATGGTTATTGTCATTGTTATTGTCTTTGAAGTGTGAAGTGGTCTTTCATATTCCTATTAGTTCAGCCCTCAAACTCCTCCCTCTTCTTGTCCTTCCTAATGAAAAGTTTCACAACGTTGTGTGGAGGTTACATAGATGTGGATTGTTTGAATATCAACAATATACCATAAAAGTAGAAACAGTAGGAACCACTCATATTGACATTAATAATCAGGTATCACAAAAGTCGTTATTGGATAAATAAAATAGTAGCTGCCTACCCAAAGGCCCACGGAAACCAGTACACTAAACAATGGTATCATTTCATTTCATTATATGCCTTCCCTTTGCAGCTTGATATCCATATTCAAGGCCACGGTGAACGCAATCCTCTTTTCACTCCACACTTCATATCCGTGACATGAGGAGATGCACTTCCTAGAGATTCCAAGAATCGGCGAACTGCTAAATAAGAGGCTCAAACGACAAGCTCCTCACCGGTTCTTCTCCATTGCCCCCTTAACAGCCAACCTATCCGCCGCCACATTCCCCGGGTTCTCATCATGCCCCTTAACCCACGTCAAATTAGTCTGAGCCTTGCTTTTCGTTCTCTTATCAATAAGTGCCCTAATCTGCTTCACCAAGTCTTCATTCATGACTGATTTCCCCGTACTTGTCTTCCATCCATTTCGCTCCCAATTTTTATACCATACAGTCGCACAATTTATCGTGTAATTACTGTCTGTGATAATCTCAACGTTCTTATCTAATGGTACAGTCTCGAGGGCGCGGAGAGCGGCCGTGAGTTCGGCGCGTTGGTTAGTTTGAAGGGCACCTTCTAGGGGAGCCGAGATGTTTCTAGAGAAGTGGTTAGTATATTTGTGAAGGACTTTGAACAGAGAGCTCGGAGGAGAGAACATACCTTTCATCACCGTCCCCGAAGAAAACTCCATATCCAGCCACGGCCCCAACCTTTCCATTACCTCTACTACTACCATCCGTCCAGACCTTGACAGTGTCTCCTTTAATGAATTCCTGCGCTTTCTCCTCCACCGTAACCTTGTCCTTCCCCTTCACCACTTTCTTCCCACTCTCCTCTTTTCCTGACCCCGTCTTAACCTTCTTATTAGTCTTTCCGCCTTCTCTCACAAACTCCTCTGCCTCCTCTCTCGTAGTAAACTTCTTATATTTTGGCCCCTTGACCCCATCAATTTGCTTTTTCGCATCTGCCCACTCCTCGTAAATCCCTGTTTCATGTCCCACGGCCACAGCATAAAATTTATCTCCCTTTGAAGGTTTCGCTGGATTTTTGCCCGCTACAAATGCTTCTGCATCCGATTGTGTTGAAAATGATTTATCTGCGGGAACATCATGAGTTAACTTTGTTTTTCTTTCGGCACAATTCAAAGATACACAAAAATATTTCCCATCCAGCCTATCTCTAAGCTCCGTTCCTAAAAACAAAATGAGAAAGCAAACTTACACATAGCTCCTCCAAAACCCGTAATCTGCTCCTTACAATCCTCCCAATCAGTAAAAACGCCCGTTTTCTTCCCTTTTCTGACTGCGTAATACTTCTGCGCACCATTCGATCCTCCCTTATCCTTTCCCTCTCCGTCTTTATCCTCTCTAAACTTTCTCTTCCTCGGAGCTGGAGGCATTATAAGATTGCTCAAACCTGTCGAGCGTCTCGAATTTTCCAACTCGATCAAATTTCCAATTTCTTCAAGCAACAATATTCCCTGTCTCAAAATATCCTGTCGTGTTTCTGTTGTAGGACTTGAAATTTCTGGTAATGTTCTATTCTTCTTCTCTGATTTAGTGATGCAATATTGAGCTGTATGTGCTCTGGACATATAAGTACACTTCCTCAAAAAGGCCTTCCGAATAAAGATTCCAGGAGATTCGAATTGGCAACGACAAGTTGCAAAAGGTCTCGGTCGAATGCGAAGTAAACCATATGTGAAAGAGCTAGGAATCTTTATCTGCCAAATGCCGAATCAATCCAGTCAGTCAATGAGTTTTGAGGAGAGACAAGACGGAACAGGAAAAATGATAACAGAAGGAGATGAAACAAAGATGAAAGAGAATAACTTTTGTTTGTTGAATTCTGGATGCGGCCAGAGTGAAAAAGCAAGGTGGAATTACGCTGTAAAAAAGCATTCAATGTAGGGCAAGACAGTGCTCTCTGGGGAGCTATCGCAAAGCACAAGAAACCTACGGTAAATATTGAACGTAGTCAACCTGTCTGTAGACTCTCAAATAACATTTGCCAACCTTAATTGTATCCAGTACAGCACAGCGAGCAAAACAAAACAAAAAGAGAGTGTGTGAGAAGTAATTATCTCAATGTTTAAATTGCAGTATGTACTGAAAGTGTGGTTGCGACCCTGTGCAAGGGGTTGAAGAAATGACGCGCGGGGAAGGGGTCCGGCCGGATAAACCGACTGTTAGTACACTTAAGAGCTTCTAGGATCGTTGCAAGGCAAGGAGAGATTGTAATCAGATCAATACATATATCTATTCAAGTAGTAATAATCACAGCCATTTCGAACAACCAGGGGTTTTTCTAATTAGAACATTTGAACCCATGAAAATGGTATTTTCATTTTCGTTTTTATATTTCGATTTTACTCGCTTTGCAGAGATCTCTATTCCTCTATTTCAGTCTTGCTGTACAAAAGTAGTCCGACCTTCCATCTATTGCAGGTTCGCTCTTAAAACGCAAGACCAAAGCCAATCTTTTGGATATCCGCAGAAGTGTAGTAAACGCTGAAGCAATTCATCCATCATAAAGAGTAGAAAGGGGCCTCTGCCGACTCCAGAAATCTGTTCCTATTCTTGTGCACACCTCAACCACATTTACTTCCGCATTTCTGAATCCGATACCAGTTCCAATCTCCCAATTGTTGTTACAAATCATCAATTTCCCGAAAATCAAAACCCAAACTCCCAATCGGTAACAAGACCTCGCTATGCAGTGCAACGCAAACTCATCCCAAATGATAAAAACTCCGGAAACCCCTCGTATGTTACATCCCTGCTCGTATTCTAGCTGTCCTCTTCGCCATCCATAGACAAATAAAGTTTAATTGCCTTTCTCTGTCTCTTTCCTTGGTTTGTAGTTTGGTAACTCATCAAACCATTGTTGTTGTTCATTGTATCTGTATGCATGGAATTCAATGCCGTAAGGTTTTGGTTCAATAGCGTAGAGCATTCCCAAGGGAACATCCAAGTCTGCAATATCGTCTCTGGTGAGATCCATGAAGTAAGCCATCAAAACCCGGGCAACAGATCGGTGTCCGATGATAAGGACATGATCTGTGATACGTTCGAGTTCTCGAACCATATCCCTGAGTCGACTGATGACTTGCAAATAACCTTCACCTCCAACTCCGGGATATATGTAGTGTAATTTGTCTTTTGCTCGCTTCTCATACTCGTCCGGAAAGCGCTGTTCGATTTCCTTGTAGGTCAATCCTTCGAAAGAACCTGCATTCAGCTCATTCAACATCTCCCAATTCTTAACATCATAATCCTCGTCCATCTCAAAATGCTCTGCCGTTTGGATACTTCTCTTGAGCATCGAAGTCCATACACAGAAGTTCTTCTCATCCAGTTCTCCCATGATGTCTGGATAGGGCGGCGTTCTGACAGCTTCGCCTCCTGGAGGATACTTTGCACTTTCAATGGCTGATTGCTGCTGCTCAAAAAGCCATTGTCTTCGACTGTTTGTAATGAAGTTGTGAAGGACTCGGGCATATTGTTGTCCTTCTCCTGTGAGATCAGAATCACCACCAAGCTTGCCAACTTTGTTATCGTTGGATTTTCCGTGTCGTGTGATCCAAATCTGTCTGGGGGAGAGGTTGAATGTCGACAAATATGAAGCTATGCCTCCTGTCAAGAAGCCCTTTAGTTGATAATGAATAACCTTTCGTCCGACATCTATCATCTTGATGTACTGCATATGATTATCTTCTTCGTACTTTCCCAATGGAACGTATGCGCTTTCATAAGCAGCGACTCGTAATTTGAAGTCCCTCAAAGATGATTCTGGATCTTTGTCCTTGTAATCGGGGCCTCGGAGCTTCAACCGCATGTTTGCCTCGAGCAGCTAGAAGATGTTTAGTCAGGGATCTTCAGAAGAATATGATATACGTACACTCTCATCCTCGCAAACGCTCTCTATAAAGAGAATACCGAGCTTTGGCTCTCTAAACTTGACGTGATCAAAGAGAAGTTTGCGACGCTCAATAGTGCTGTTTGTAGCATCCAAGATACCAACAGCGCCATTTCCCAACAAGAGGAAATCCAAAAGCTCATCTAATGTGGCCATGGCTACCTGCTCTCTGATCAAAGCCGCCTTGGAATTCATTGGATCAAAGAAATTGGCTGATTGATCCATAGTTTCTGGGTTTGGCGATCCGGTGGAAGTTTTCTTCGTCTCAGAACCTTTGGTTTCTTGGGTCGGATCCACGCCGTTCAAAATCATGTGAGCAGCCTGTGTAGGGGCATCTATAACGCCAGAACTGGAACCAGTGCGACTTGGTTGACTTGGAACAGATGGCCGATGGGCCGATTCCTGTTTCTTCAGTGGTGTGCCGTTTGACGGCCGCGGTTTTCCAGCTGCGACACGACGTCGATTTCCAACATTGAAAATCTTAGTCTCATGTTGCTGCCATGACAAATATCTTTGGATTTTCTTCGTAATATATGATTTTCCACGAGCGGGCAATCCTACCATAATGACCACCAATTTTGAAGCGACATCTCGTTGTGCAATTTTACCATCAGGGGACACGCGAGATCTGGTCATGCCGGGAATGTTGAGAGTGGTAGCAGGAGCTCGAACTCGGGGGGTTGTAGTGCCAGAATTCTGTCTTAGTGGGAGACTGTACCAATGTCAGTTTAAGGTTCGTGAAAATTTTGTTGAGATCTTTGCGCCCAGGGAATTTCATGAACATTCCATATAACATTGTTCAATGACGGAAAGGGAGCCGATGAGAATGGAGATAGACTGACATTCTTGGACTGCTTTGAGCAGTTGAAGGGCCACTTGGGAGGGGTGTGTCAGAGGGAGGATGACCAACTCCCTCGGTGACTCCATCGCTAGTCATACCGAATTTCTCGTGAAAATTTCTGTTGAAAACTGGAGGTACAACAGATGGCGGAAGTGTGATATGGTTGTCGAGTTGTGGGTTGCAAACGGCAAAATCGCGTTCGAGGATGATGTTGCCAGGAAATGTAGTGAGGGGCTGAGAAGAAGGTTTTGGAGGTGGATGCATTGCGGTACAATTGTTAAAAACCGCCGCTTTCGCGATCTGAGAAAGTTGGGACTGACGTCGATATTCCGCTGCAAGTGGAGCGTTAGTGGATATAGAATAATCCATGAGAAATTATGGAAGATGGTGGGTGGCATACACGATAAAAAGTCCTGGGGCGCTGCATGAATGGCTGAAGGCATTTAATAATTCTCAAGCGTTCCCAATTTTGAGGAAGGCAAGCAGGCAAAGGACCTAAATTAATCTAATCAAGACTCTTTTTTTATTTAGCTTTCAGTAGTTTGAGGTCTAAAAAGGAATTATGTCGGTACTATTCAAGGGTTTCTGGGAAGGTTTAAGCTGGAACTAACCTTTTTCTTCTTCTTTTTCTCCCACGATGGTTGACAAGTATTTATGACCAAACTCTTTTTCGATCAACACTTGGGGTACTCGTGATAGTAAATGGGATCTGTGGTCCACCTGTGAGGATGGAGAGCAGAGTGATGGCAAGTTGAGAAGGTCCTGGTTGAGTCGTGGTCAAGCACAGAAGGTAGGAGAACTGGGAAGTGTGTACGAGAGTGTGGATGTAAGTACTCGGTATGAATCTCCGAGTCGATTCGAAATTCACAATGGGATCGAAGTTGGATGAGGGCTTTGGAAATGAGAAGTGGTGGTGGTAGCGGTAGTAGTGGTAGAAGAGCTTCGTAGAAGAGTAAAGAAAAAACAAGTGGTGATAGTAATCAATGAATGCAAAGTTATGAAGAAAGAAAAAAATGAAGAAAAAATACACAGATATGATTAGATATGAGAGGTAGCAGTTGACTTCTTCGTAATGTAAACAAAATTGAACCAATTCTCCTTCCAATTCTTTTGAGGTTGAGGCAGGATTATGACCTCGATATCAAGTTTCCATCTGGTGCTCGGAAAGCCGAATCCAGAATATCACTACCCGTTTCGCAGGTGTAAAATCCGTCTCGATAAGACTTTCTGGAAAGCCTATCAGTAAAACACTACACGCACTAGACTAGCCTTGGAAAGTCTTGGAAATGCAGGGCAAAGAAACAAACCAGGGATGGATCACAGAAAAGATGAGGCTAAATGCAGCAATGGGTGATGGCCCATGGGAAGGGGAGAGTTGATGTGGTATGTTGCAAGGGTAGCTCAACTTCTTGGAATCGATTCGATTAATGATGTGGTAAATTGGTGAAGTGGGGAGGGAGATGTGGAGTGAAGCTAGAAGTTGAAGACTGAAGTGAGGGAGCGGCAAGAAGGCTCCAGAGTTATATCTGCGGACTTTACTTATTTGTTCTGGTGGTAACGTTATACATAGGGAGGTATTAGGGAGGTGGGTAGTAGGTGAGCGAGTAGGTTTGTGCGACAGTCTGCTGACTGGAAGATCAGGATATTGTGTTGATATATCTTAGTTGAGAGATTGATGATGATGTACCCGTACCGTATTGTGAAGAATGCAATTTGATATGATATGATATGATATGATATAATGGTGATATGATCGGACAAACAGCCTCTTCCCTATTGTGTCTTCAATCTCATCCTGTCTGATACCAATATGAATACTCGGGTATTACTCAAGTGTACACAACCGCCGTGACATCTATCGCCTTGACACTTCACCATGTAATATCAATCATTGAAAGAATGAATCTAGAAACTTTGGCTTCCAAACAGCTGAAAGATGAAGGTTACAGCGGCTTATTGCAGACCAAACAAAGAAACCCACAAAATTCTATTCCTTCCATCCTTTACGACCATTTCATCATCAGTATCCGTCCTCCTGATCCATCTTACATCTTCACCCCCATCTCCGGGGGAAAGCATCGTATGGAGTTTTGTCTGTACACCGCATGAAAGAGCATTCACCGGCTGAAAATTAGTACAGAATTGGGCATTGCTTGAACATGGCCAATAATGCACACAGCGTGCCCTTTGCGACCCATTTCATAGGTTCGAAGAATCAATGCAGGGTTAAATTATCACCAAACATTCTTCAGATAACTGCCCAAAAACACAGCCTCATCAATCGATATCATCCTACTTATGAGCCTATTGGCCTTCTTGAGATAAACGCGCGCACCACCGATCCATAATTCACAAAGAGTAGAAAGGACATTTGATAGGTAAGATTACCTATTCTCAGATCCATCCTAATAAGATGCTCAGCCATGTTGCAATAAGCGTCACATCCACAATCCAAGAAGACTACAACACAATGTATTTTGTTTTGTTGAGAGATAAGGATTTTCTGAAGTCTTGATTTGGATTTGAATTTTAATCATACATCCATCCATAATAGTAGAAACAATTATGTTTCAGTGCCCAGATACCTACATACTTGTCCGCAATCAACAGTCTCAGACAAAACCACTTTGAGACTTCAGTTGTGGGGGGAAGGGCCAGCAGCCTTGACATATTCATGTCAGATCTACCCTTGATGACTACTTCGTATATGCTCTATACTAGATATGTATGGATGGCCAGTATTAGCACAGCAGCCAAATGATCTTTGCGCAAAGTTATAAATAAATAATAGATTGCAAACAATAAGGGTTACCAGGGAATTCTTCGGTACTCACCCAACCTGCCTCGAACTCTCCCCCTCCGGTCTTGGGAGTCTCTGCCCAGCCCCCATATCCAAACATCGCATCGCCCTTTCTCCAAACACGCAAATTTCGATCTTCATCTTGGTATCGCAGTCGCAAGCAGATCAGATCCGTATCGCTGCATAGCAAAAGAATCATCTCACACGCGGAAGCCCGGTCCGGACTTGGCAATGTCTTCAAATCTAGATATGGTCGGCCGGCCAAGACGGAAATTGTTGGTAAATGACCGTGTGCTTATTAGTGTACAACAAACATTTGGATGTTGTCGATAGTCTTGTGAAGGAAACTTTGGTGCTGCTAATATTGATTTTATCTCGGCGAACTCAAAAATCCGGATTTTGAGGCGGAAGGAGACGTGGTCAAGGTCGCATCTCAAATATTGGCAGTCAAAGCCAAGCGTGATTCAGACCGAAATTCCCGCCAGAAATTGAAATGGCAGATGAGGTGATGAGCAGGAGAGGCGGAAGTATTGGTAGCCTCGTAAGTGGCAGTGAGTGCATGTTACATTCAGCGATCTTGCGGGTAGGCCTCCGAGTCCTCTTCCGGTACTTGCAATGCAACATACGCGTTACGACACGGTCATGTGTCACCATACAAATGCTTCTTCTCTCGCTTTCACTCAGCCTTGTGTTTAGTTTTCATATCATTCGTGTAGGCGCCGTCAAGGATAATCGCCTTGGCTAGACTTTGTGGAGATGCGCACAACATACTTCATAATCACCATCGTCACCAGGTATCACTTCAGTCCGGTAGCCGGTATTGATGTGAAGTTGTTGAGTTGTCACAACTTAAAGCTGGAGCACCTGCAGCCTGCCAGTCATCGGGAAGCTGAGTGAGAAGAACCTCAAGGAGGTCAAATGAGTTTATTATTCAAAGTCTCCGAAAGGAAAAAAGTCGTGCGGAATCCCCATAAACTTCTCAGCAAAATCGAATTTGCAATTCCGGGGACTCCGAAACTCGGTGTGGAGTTTGGGGAACACAGTAGGTCAATCTCCTGTATACAACGAACTCATCCATTTTCAGAAACGAAAAGGATATTCTTCCGGTTAGGTTGTACTTGGTTGAGGATTCGGTTGGGAAAAGGTAAGGTGATGATTGTTCGGAAACTTACACTACCTTTCAAATATGGAAGTTGTAGGCCAAAAATATTATGTAGGTACCTGTACAAAGTGTCGTGTGCTTCAATATTTCATGACTTGATGAGTATTATTGAGACACCGAATATCTCGGGGTGTACATCGTACAGTATGCTTCTGATACCCGGGTCCATCTTCCACTTCATTGTTATATCAAATTCAAGATACACATGGCCAAATTGATTGAGAGATCGAAAATATAAAGTAAGGATGCCGTTGATAAAGCTTTCGTGTCTCAATACATCGTCTGCATCAAAGAATTGATTGTAAATGCAAAGCACAATATTGATAAGCACATAATGAAATGGGCGTAAAAATGAAACAGCGATAAAGATCTTGTTATTCCGAGAATTAGATTCAAAAATTTGGATATTTATCTCTATATCATGCAATAAAGCACATGATACCTACATATATCAGCATAGCTTAGCTATAGATAGACTGAATCGATTAAGAATCTACTACTACTACTACTACTACCTACATACATACATATATGTTCTCCTCTCCTCGCAGCTCTTCCCATAGACACCTAAGTAGGAGTCGATGAGGATCTCGACCCTCCAAATCGAGACTGGCTACTGTAACCACAATACAGATATCCTCTAAGTATACTAGTCAGATATATGTGTTGTATCCAGTTGTCCGAAAAACATGATCCAAAGACATGGTATCAGATCAGAGAATGTGATTTTTTCCACCCTCACCCCAATGTCACGAAAAATCAGTATTCAATCTAAGGGGGACAATCTAGGGGGATTATCTGGGAGTATCATCTAGTAATTATATAATCATCTCTCCTTCTATCCCAACTCTCCAAAAGACATATAAGTCATATCCTCTTCCTCTCTCGCTCTCCCCTCTATCCAATCCCTCAAAGCCCCACGGAGTACATGAATTATAACCAAAACAAACAAGTTACCCAGCGAATCCCAACAGAACACAATCCGATGAATCTCTTTCTTTTTCCGTAGAAATCGATACTGATATCGTTGTTCTGAGATATACTCACAATCTAGTCGCGAGAACTTACAAAGTGGGAAGAGGGAAAGTGTGTTGTTTGTCTTGTGGCTTGAAAGGATGTTTTAGTAATGTTACATTTTGGGGTGGAAATGGAAATGGAAATGGAAATGGAATAAGGAATGATATATATACTCGAGTATATATATAGGAGACGAGATGGGAATTTAAAATGAAATTTGCAAGAGGAGGTTATGGTCATTGGTATTGGTATTAGTTTGGTATTAGTATTGACATCAATACCGCGATTCATCATGAAAAAAAAGGATTCCTAAGAAAGAGAAGAGAAGAGAAGAAGGAAGAGAGTATTATATTCATCTATCAGGATGTCTTTTATCCAGAGAGATTCATCGGTGGATTAGGTGGTGAGCGAGTATGTTGAATTATAATGTAGCTTATATATTTACATAATATGGGTTGGTATGCTAGTTTCCTATTACATTATATCAAATCGATTTGGGGATGAAGAGGGCTATGGGATGAACGAAAGATTGATAGATAGAGGCGTATGTATAGAAAAATAGGAGTTTGTTATTACCCCCCTAATAATCTAATCACACACCTCAACTCACAACACTATCATTTAATTCCCAACTCGAAGCGTATTTTTTTACTTTGTTTTTATTTTTGTTCTGGCTCTTCAACTATATCCATATATACATCTATCTATATACGACACCAACCTATATACAAGCCAAAGGCATCGTCTAGATTGTGGACAGTAGATAAACACAAACTCGGCGTATTCAATTTCCTCTCCTCCTCCTCCTTTCTCCTCCTCTTTTACAATGCAGAAGAAGAGGAGAGGAGCGAGTTTGGATACCCTGCATAAACTCGACCCATGACTGTATAAATACCCTTCTCACATGACTCTCGAGCAGCCATAGCTCGTTGTTTCCTGCATTCTCAGAGTCTTATACGTAACCTTCCCGGCTCAGTTCCTGAGAAAGCATTGTTTGTGAGAGATTCCTTGCTAAGCGTCTTGATTTGAGGACACAAAAGTGTTGAGGAATTGTGGTGTAGAGTTGCAAGTATTGTTTCCGCGTGGAAACTCGTTGTGGTGGATGGGAGGATAGATGAACTATCCCATAAGCTTGAACACATGGCGTTTTACCCATCTAAGCAAAAAAAAAAGGGGCAATGGCATGTGTATCGCTTCTGTGACTTTGACAGAAAAAAGCTGGCAACCATCGCTTCCTCCCACGAGCATTTCCAAATCAATCAATCATCCTCACTCATCCTCTGGATCGAAGCCAAACCAAATCTCATCCTTAGGAACACTTCCCTTCTCCAATTCCTCAACATTCACTTGACATAATTTTTGGTTCTCTTCCGGAATCTGCATCTTCATAACTTCATCCACCCGATCTATAAATTGCATAGCCATGCCCGCTTCTCCATGCCACATCATATGGCAATGAAAAGCCCATACTCCCGGATTATCCGCCACGAATCGGAGAGCTAACCATCCGAATCCCTCAACAGTTGCTACATCTCTTCTTATTAAATTGTCCAACGCATGTTCATGGCCTGGTAATGTACCACGACCTTCTGGTTGAAGGTGTAGAGCATGATACCCAGGGAAATCACCGTGTCCTTGGCCTAGAACCCAGACTTTATGACCGTGTAGATGCATGGGATGATTTCCTTCGTCGAAATTT